ACCATGAATAAGCCAGCCGGCGGAAGACCTGTGACGACAAATACCGATCAAATCATGGAATACATTGAGTTAGACCGGCATATGGCATCTCGTGACATCGCCCAGGAGATGGGAGTTAGTCACCAAACCATTTTCAACCATCTGAAGAAGGCTGGATATAAAAAAAAGTTTGATGTTTGGGTGCCGCATAATTTGACGCAAAAAAAAAAACCTTCAGGACCGAATCAACGCCTGCGATATGCTGCTGAAACGGAACGAATTCGACCCATTCTTGAAGCGGATGGTGACTGGCGACGAAAAATGGATCACATATGACAATATCAAGCGAAAACGGTCGCGGTCGAAGGCCGGTGAATCGTCCCAAACAGTGGCCAAGCTGAGATTGGCGGCCATGGAGGTTTTGCTGTGTGTTTGGTGAGATTGGAGGAGAATCATCCACTATGAGCTGCTTACATATGGCCAGATGCTTAATTCTACCATCTACTGCGAACAACTGGACCGCTTGAAGCAGGCGATCGACCAGAAGCGTCCAGAATTGGCTAACAGGAAGGGTGTAGTGTTCCACCAGGACAACGCCAGACCACACACTTCGTTGATGACTCGACAGAAGCTACGGGAGCCCGGATGTGAGGTTTTATCGCATCCACCATATAGGTTACTCTTTGGCGCCAAATCTGCAGCAGCCATATAATTCGTCATAATAACTTGATGCGAGGTCCAGATTATAAGGTGGATGCATAAGAAACTCCTACCCAAGCTTCTGAAGCTTCTGACGAGTGACTATCGATGTTCGTGGTCTGGCGTTGTCTTGATAATACACAATTTACCACCCGTAAGTCAAAGCTAGGCCCTTCTGAGAATTTGCCTGCTTCAGACGGTTCAATTGCGGGCGGTACAGGTCCGCTGAACGAGCAGATCACGAGCTAATCTCACCAAACAGACAGCAAAACCTTCCTGGCAGTCAATCCAGGCTTGGAAGCCGTTTGTGCCGGCTCACAGCCTTTCAAACACAACCGTTTTCGTTTGACGTTGCTGTAAATGATCCACTTTTTCATTGTCATCACCAGTCACCAGTCGCATCCGAAATGCGTCGACTTTGCTACGATTTAGCAGCGATTCGCAGATGGAAATTTGGTTCATGATTTTTTTCTCGTTAGTTCATGTCGAGTCATCTTTCTAACGCCATCTCCGATATACAGATCACTAAAGCCATCTGTTGCAAAGATAATGGACTACTTTCTGCTGGACATATATATATTTAACAATTTATTCATTGTAAATATTTTTTTAAGGAAATTTTTTTCTGCAAGTGACAACTCTCTTCAAAAATATTTTCTGAGTAAGCATTTTTAAGCGCCCTAAGTTGAATACCGGATATGTCATATTTTATTGATTTTTTTTCTTTATTTTTTATTTTTCTTTAACTTATATATAAGTTAGATGCAAGGCAAACAAACCTCTCTAGTTGAAGCTCCAGACCGTTAAAAAAATTTAAAAAAAATTACAGGTGGCAACTCTATTTAAAAATATTTTTTATTGTGTATGCATTTTTAAAGGCCTAGAATTTATTGAGCAACTTCTAATAGGTAATTTACTTTTAAAATTTTCAAAATTTTTACAGGTGGCAACTATCTTTGAAAAACATGTAAACGTTTTCTTAAACCCGCATTAAGCGATGCACACACATTATCGAAATAAATTACAAGTAATAATCTTAATATGAAATATTAAGAAATTTTGAACAGATGGCAACCTTTTCTAAAAATAAAATTCGGTTGCCTTAGAGCATTGCAATTCCGTATGGATGTATACTTTTACACTTGCATGAGGCAAGGATCATTAGGATTTTTCGTAAAAAAAATTGTAGCAGTTGACAACCCGGAGGTCCTCTATGTTTTAAACCGAGAATCGGACACATAAAAAAGTATACAAATTGATAACGATGCAGGCATACTTTTAATTTCTAATTGTAGACCCGTTCACATGTAAGCCCTCGCCACCACGCCCATGCATGACCGTATAACCGCAGTGAAACCTGAAGATTGGACAAGGTTTTAGGTCCAGCATGTCACTATACTCATAAATGCCACCCACAAACAACAACAAAACCTACTGGCACATTTTCATGCGCTGATATGCACACAAGTCTGCATTTACAGCCACTTACTTCTCTTGTTGTTGTTCCCATTATTTGGATTGCGCATTTATACACATTGTTGCCGCCACCTCACAAGGCGGATTCCGAAGCAAGCAAGCAATGAAGGGCAAACATGCACATCGCTACATATATGTAATAAATCCATTTGTTTGTTTCTATGAGCGTGTGTATGTGTGTGTGTATGCAAGTCGAGTGTGTGTTTGCGTGCCCATTATTTGTTGTTTGTGTTGTACGCGTTGACGTTATATATTACTTCCTCTTGCCTGCCATAATGAGTCAATGAGTTAAGAATGCTCGCGGCTACGATTTCATTTCATTGGATGCGGTTAACAGTGAGCAGGGAGCAAGTGCAATGGCAAAGGACGACAAATATGAGCAGGAGTCGCGTGAGTGGGGACGAGACGAGCTGGGAAGAGCTGGCAGCACAACACGCACACAGTGGCGTGCGTAATAGCAGGTTAATTGCGTTGAGTGTTATCCCAATGATTGAGAAATTATAACATACAAAAACAAAAACAAAAATAAGGCAGCACCAAAGAGATTTACTAAATTAACACAATTAAAGCGAGAGAAGTGGCGGGAAAGTAGCGAACGAAAGAGTTGAAGCATTTAAGTGCAGCGACGTGGCAAGCAGTACGAATTGCCATTCGGTAGGGCGCCCTCGAATCCTGTCGAAATCCCGACCAACAGCCAAAACTGGATCCGGGCTGTAGAGTGTGCGATTCAGAATATCGAAACGTGAGTAGTCTCGGCACCCAACTTGCGCTGATCTTAATCATGTCGAGATGATCAATGAGGATTTCAAAACTGGTTGTATTGGATACTCTAAGAATTTTTAAGTTTTTTCCTTTATGGTCGAGCGTCGTCGGGAAAGATTTTTTCATCCGCCTAATTTTTTTTATTTCCGCAAATATAAAAATCGGTTCTTGTATCAGGTGTACAACTTTGCTTCCGCCGTTTTTTCCAAAATTNGAAACGGCGATGACAATTCGTTAGGCCTTGTCCACAATCACTTTAAAGGGATTATCATCTATGTATTTCAACCAGCCTCAGCCGATACAGCCACCTATCGGAAAACGGCGGAAACTAAGTTGTACACCTGATAGCTCTCTGCGGACAGTTTTTGGTTTTGCACCTTGATGTTTTCCAACTAAAGGAGCGACCTACAGTTTATACTAAGCCGCCTCCGAACGGCTGATGGTTTTTCTTATGAAGTGCTTCATTTCAAGACAGAAACACACTCGGAGAGGTTGACATTCCTTGCCGAGGGGCGACCGCAATGAGAAAAATTTGCTAAATTTTTTGTTTGAATTAATGTTCGATAACTTTTTGATTTTTGGATTCTGAATACAGGCCGCAAAACTAAAACTGTTGACGTTGGATCCCACTCAATTTGTCAGCAGCTCCAAAAAAAACGACTCGTGGCAAAATGAAATCATGACAACTGTTGAATCGTGGATTGACGCGGATGAAACCGAAATTAGAATGCAGTCAGCTGTATATTTTTTTCATTGCCCGACGCCCTTCCAAGCAAATGTCTGCCTGTTTTTTGGAAAAACTGAACATATCGCCACCGTAGCACGTAGAACAGTAAGTTTTAATTGGTGCACAACAATTTTTTTGCCAGTTATTTTTCAAAAAATAAGAAAATCCAACCGCCGAATACCTCTTGCCCGCGCCAACGCGACCTCTCACAACTGACCGAAACAACTGCATTTTTAAGCACTCAAAACATGAAATTTAGGAGTGATCCCCCATATAGTTCTGACTTGGCACTAAATGCCTTCTTTTTATCACTATTCGTAAGATTGATGCCTTCAGAACGCATGTTTTGGAGATACTTCAATCAGAGCGGCAGAGGGGTTTCGACTATTGGTTCAAACGCATGCCAAAGTATGTAGATCCCAATGGAGAGTATTTTGAAAAACAGTAATGAGATTTTCCTTGATTTATATTTGTTTTTGTTCTCTAACTCTGAAATATAAGAGGCAGCCCTCGTATGCTTTCATTCAAGACAACCGACGAGCATTTCCCACAGATCCAGTAACCAGTTAAAAATTGTGCACGAAATGCCATGGAGAAGGGAGGGACTGCAAATAACGAACTGATAACTATTTCTATGTACACATGCAGTAAAATGTTGATGAAATATGCAACTGCCAACAACAACAACTACTACCACTACCACATAGAGCAACAGCAATAAGAACCTTTGAGCAATTTTTAACTTTTAACGGCTCACACTTTTTGCCGACCACTGCGGTTGGTTGCCATTACGCATGGTAGTTAACGAACACACCCAAACATACCGCACATATGTATACCAAACACATGTATGCAGTTAGCCCAAAAGTACTTTTTGCCAAACAAATTGACAACAAACTACTTCAACAAGGACAGGAACGATGATGGGATTTTCCCATGTCATCTCATCTCATTTTTTTTTTTTTTCATTTTTTTTTTTTTTTTTAATTTTTTTTTTTTTCATTTTTTCATCCATCGAATTTTATGCATTGCTGCTAATGAGCAATTTAGAACGCTCGTAGGACCACTGGCTGTGCTCGTGCTGGAAGCCACTCACTGGTAGATGAGCTAGCAGATGGCCGAGTGTGTGTGTGGGGGAAGGATTGAAGACGGTTTGACTACAGCAAACAACAATTGAAAGTTTTGCGTTGGAACCAAGTCAAGAGCTGGTGACACGACACACAAACGCATACATATACATATGACATATTCACATAAATACTCAAACAATGTTTGCAACGCAATCTCATCTTTCGTGATAAAAAAAAATTATATATACATACATAAGTGTGTGTGTGTGTGTGTGCTCGTTACTCACCTAATGCTGTCGCAATTAATGCGAGTCCACCGTGTCGTATGATGGAAATGCGAAAGTTTATTGCCCACAATTGGAAAAGTTTTATACGTAATTAAAAGTTCCAAAATCGCTTCCAAACATGTGGATCTTATTTGAAATTGCTCCTGCTCGTCGACCATGTTCTCGTCGTAAACTTTATTGATTAATAGTAGGAATGTCATAAAGTACTCTTCGAATTGTTGGCGTGTGGTGAAGCCAAAAATTGATAATCTGCAAAGAAACAACGAAAACAACAAAAACAACAAATACAATATCAAAAAAGTACACAATTTTATTAATAATAAAAACAATTAGTTATGAAAAAAAAGATTTATTAGCGGGAGAATGATGCCACACAGAGAAATAAATATGTAGGTATGTACGAGTAGAGTTAATCAGGTTGCTATTTATGTACATATCTACATAGCTACATACTCGCGTATGCACTAAATAAAGCGTTAATTGGTTGAACTAAAAGTTTTCGCAAAAGTCATAATTATCTAGTTAATTTAATTAATGAGCCAATGCTGTTGTGCGTCTTCATTGCAAATCAGTTAATTTAATGAAACATGAGTGAAGATATATACAAATGTACAACAAGCAAATATGTATTGGATGAGTGCATAAGTTCGTGCCCGATTTCAAGTGCAAATTAAAATTGAAATTTTTTGAAGAAAGCGCCTTTATTAATCAATTATGTATTTGCCATCATGTTCTGCAATCCAACGTTCAACCAATTTACGGATGCCTGATTCATAGAAATCGCGCGGTTTCTCGTTGAAAAAGGTGTCAAGGTGGTTTTTGACGTCTTCCACATTTTTAAATTTTTCTCCATTCAAATTGTTCTGCAGCGATCGAAACAAATGATAATCAGAAGGTGCAATGTCGGGTGAATATGGGGGATGCGGCATGATTTCCCAATTCATCTCCTTCAGTTTGGCCAGGGTCGGTTTTGCAACATGTGGCCTGGCGTTGTCATGATGGAAAAGAACTCCTTTGCGATTGGCCAAAATCGGACGTTTTTCATCAATTGCTTTCTTCAATTCGACCAATTGCTGACAATACTTGTTGGCAGTGATCGTTTCTCCAGCTGGCAAGAGCTCAAAATAGATCACGCCTCGGATATCCCACCAAATGCACAGCAGTACCTTCATCGGATGCAATCCACCTTTCGACATCGGTTCCGCCCCTTCGTGTGCCTGTTTCCATGTTCTTTTGCGTTGAACATTGTTGTACAGGATCCATTTTTCATCACCAGTCACGAGCCGATCCAAAAAAGGTTCGTTTTTGATCCGTCGAAGCAAAGAAATTGCTGTTGACATACGGTCCACTTTGTTTTTTTCACTCAACTGATGTGGCACCCATGTATCGAGCTTCAAAGTGTACCCAACCTTTTTTAAACGACGAAACGCAGTTGATTTGTTGACGTTCAATTCACTGGCAACCTCTTCCGTCGAAATACGTGAGTTATTCGCAACTAAAGTCCTTAGAACATCGTCATCAAGCTCAGAAGGCCGTCCACTGCGAGGTTGATCTTCGAGGTTAAAATCTCCAGAACGAAATTTCGCGAACCATTTCTTTACTGTGCGGAGTGCTGGAGCACGGTCCAAATAAACTTCGCGAATATCTTTAGTTGCAGCGCCTACTGTTTTTCCTTTGCGGAATTCGTATAACATAATATGACGCATATGATCTTTTTCGTTGTCCATCTTCCATGTGTCTTTTCACTAAGCAACTCAAATCAAAATGAAGTTATTTTATGCTTGATTTACAGTTTGGACTGTCTTGTTCCAACGATATATAATATGTATATATTTCTTTCACGAGCTCCACTCTCAAACGATTCGAACGGCATCCAGCGGAATCGGGCACGAACTTATGCACTCATCCACTCATCATACATACCGACACACTACGCATAGCATGAGAAATAGTAAACAAAAATGTCCCATCAGGAACACACACAAGATTTATATACATATTTTCTTTTATTAAATAATACAAAGAAAACCATTGGCAACCATGCCTAAAATTTTATGTTACCGTAAGACGAATTTATCCTCATTTTTCAATTTCTTGCTAAGGGTGTATTGTGGCGAGTGGCTTTCAATGTGGCAATACTTTCTTGAGGCAAAAGCCGAATGGTTAGCATTGCGTGCTGCCATTCGGAAGGTCAGAGTTTGAGTTCGGGTCCGGTAAACAACCAAACTTACAGAAAATTAATTTATATAAAATTTTAAGTTATATTTCCTAATTGCGGTCGCCCCTCGACAGGGAATGTCAACCCCTCCGAGTGTATTTGTGACATGAAATAATGGCTCCTCATTCATCGGCCTGAAAATTGTACTTCTTCAAAGGCGTCGTTCACCACGAACCGAATACGTTATTGCGGCTGTGGAGCAGAGTGTCAAGGAAGATCAGAAGGAGTATATCCGCCATGGCTCGCAAAAACTGCAGCCGTACCCAACTGTTTTATTAAAGAATTTGCGGTAAGATCTTGGCTTACATCAAACACAATCCAACTCGTATAAGAATTGAAGCCGAGCGACCATCAAACGTCTCCTTGAATAGGCCCAAAACGAGATGTTCTCATCGCCGGAGCCTACTCTTCATTGAATAAGTAAGTTATTGTAGAAAATTGTCGTATTTGGAGTGTTGTCAACACAGACCGACACGATTTTGTTACCAGAAACAGGACTATACTTTTTCAAACGGTTCTGACGATCTGAATCCGAGTCTGGCTTCAAAACAGTGCCAGCACGTCAAGTTATAGAATTGAAAATGGTGAAATTTGGCAGACTCAGTAAATTCACTGGTACTGGTACTTGGTACTTTCAGATAGCATAACGATCCCAAAAACAAAACAAAAAAATGTTTGATGTGGTGAGCGCGTTAACTCGCGTTGTTAGCCTGTGCCGTGGCCTCCAGGTTTCTGCGATCTAACACAGTTGGACTATTTTTCATCTAAGCAGATAAGCCCAAGACGATTAACGCCTTGAGAGATAATATTCGTCGCATTTTTGCTGACTTACGGCCCTAATATTTACTCAAAGAGTGGTCAAAAATGGAATATCGGCTGGGATCCAGCTGCGGTGGTCACTTGTCATAGTAACATCCCAGTAACAAGCGAGCACGACAAGCTGGCTAAAAGGGTAACAGTCCTACGATAAGCTCTTCAAATGACGCGGACATAACTTAAAAAACAACACATGCAATCACCGGTTGGAATTTCTACAAATCAATTCCTCCCAACCAACAATTGTTAGGTTTGGGGAAACTGGGTTCTTTGGTGGTTCGAAGTCTGCGTCCTGGAAATGATGACTGTGTAGAGCGCAGTCTCAGGAGGGGTACATCGCTTCGTTCACTAGTTATCTTTGATCTCCAGATCGCCGTAGCGTTTTTAAAACAAGGAACCACAGCCATTGCAGAAAAATGGTAATCGCGGCTGAAATTCACTTAAGGAGACGCTTTTGGTTAACATGAAGTCGTCAGCTCGGAAAACTCCATCAGTGTGGAACATATACGTATGTGGTATAACGATGAAGAACTTTGAAATGATTTTCTGCGCTTTTCCGTCGGCCACCACAAAGTTTTGCTGAGACCGAAACGGAATGGCGATTGATAGAACTGTCTGCACATAAAATGATGCTGGATGTGATAGCTTTCGAGCAGGGGTTAGCTCGACACAATCAGATTAGTGTCGCCCAGAGTAAGAGTATCAAAACCAGCTAGAGAAAAAATCTAACCAAAATTTTTGTATTTTTCTGACAATTTACTAAAGCAAATAACTTCGTCATCATCTCATTCGCATTCACACTGAAGCTCTCTAGAGTCTGCCCCTGACATAATGCCTAGCTTCATGCAAACAAGATTTGGAAAATTTAAAACGAAAAATAAGCCATCATCAGAGCGACAAACTGGGTAATATTTATGTATGTATGCATGCGTATTTTCATGTACTTGTTTGTATATGCATATTTATATATTATATTTAGTATATAATATTTGCACCACAATAAGATGCAAAACGGAGTAACCGTACATCGAAATAATATTGCAACAAAAATGCATACCATATGCATACGTATATCTACATAACCAAGTTTATATGTAGGATTTTATGTACATATGTACGCGCATTTGCATGTACATATGTATGGGGAAGTGAATTTAGTGAAAACCATCAAAGCATGAATTTGTCGGTTTGCACCAACCGAGAGAGTTCCAAAAGATTTTGCAACTTTCTACAGATTATAGGCAGTTTTCCATGGCTATGTATACGTGTATGTGTTGTTGCAACATTCAATGGCAAGTCGTTGACTTTGTGACTGAGACAGTTGATCTCTTATGTAATTAAATTTTTGTTTTACCAACAAAATTTTGTCGACTTTCTCACATCAATTGCTGTGATACTANTATATATATGTTTGTGGAGCGGTGAAAGAAATTGTATACAGGGTTAATATTTTTGAAATCGAATAAATAAATTAACTGGAAAATAAAATAAAACTAAATTAAATAAAACAAATATAAATAAAATGATCTAAAATAAACGCAGAATACAAAGTAAAATAAAAAAGAACTATAAAAGAAATAATTTAAATTAAATATTAAATGAAAATTAATAATAAAATATAAAACTAATATATAATTTTATAAAAAAATTAAAAAGTGAAAATATATCAAAATATAAGATAAACTATAATAATATAAAATAAAACATAATAAAATAAAATAAACAAAATAATATAATACAAATTTAATTAATTCAAATAAAATTACTCAAAATATTAATTAATCTATTTGATATAGTATAATTAAAAACAAATAAAACAAAATGGAAAATAAAATGAAACAAAATAAAATGAAATACAATGAAATAAAATAATAAATACAACATAATAAAAAAAAACTAAATTAAAATGAATAAAAAAAATAGTTAAAAAATTTAAATTAAAAGAAAAATTTATTAAAAACAATTCATTAAAAAATTAATTTAGTAATACAAAATAAATTAAAGTAACTAAACTAAAATAATATAAAATAAAGGTAAAGAATAAAATAAAATAACAGAGAGTAATATCATATAAAACTAACTTAAAAACTAAATAAAGTAAAATAAGAAAAGTCATAATGTATAAAATAATATGTAATTAAATAAAGTTATACCAAATTAAAATTATAACAAAATAAAATTGAATTGAATTAAATAAAATAAAATACAAACAAATATAATAAAGAACTAAATCAAATTTAATAAAATGATAAAAAATAAATTATAATAATTTAAATGAATTAAAATATAAAATAAAATAAAATAACAAAGAATATTTTTCATATAAAATTGACTTAAACTGCATAAAAAATTAAATAAAGTAAAATAAAAAATATCTTAATGTGTAAAATAATATATAATTAAATAAAGGTGTAAAAACTTAAAATTATACCAAAATAAAATTGAATTAAAATAAATGAATTAAAAAAAAATTAAAATGAAAAGAAATAAAAAAAATCTAAATTGAATTAATTATTATGAATGAAATAAAATATAAAATAGAATAAAAAAATTAAACAACTTCAAAATAAAAACAAATATAATAAAAACCTAAATTAAATTAAATAAAATAAAAAAAATATATAATAATTTAAATGAACTAAAATATAAAATAAAATAATATATATATTAAATAAAGTAAAATAAAAAATATCTTAATGTAAAAAATAATATATAATTAAATAAGGTTATAAAAATTTAAATTTACAACAAAATAAAATTTAATTAAATTAAATAAAATAAAAAAATACAAATAAAAAGAAATATATAAAAAAAATCTAAATTATAATAAATAAGTTAAAGTGATAAAAAAAATTATAATAATTTAAATGAACTAAAATATAAAAATTTTTTAAAATTAAAAAATAAAATAAATAGTAATTATAATAAGCCCAACGAAAACCCGCCCAACCGACACGAGGGGCGACATCCGCATAGCGTTTGATCAGCGTCGAGATTTAGTTGTTGAACAGCTGAGATTTTGTAATATTAGGATTTTCAAAATTTAATTGTTGAGAGATGTAAGAATAATTTTTTTTTATGCTAAAAAGTGAGTCTGAGAGATCAAAAATGCTGGAATGGAAATTAAAATTATGACGGGTTCATTCAGTTCATAATTTATTTTACATGACTTTGATAGTAAGGGCCTAAACTGCCTAGATACACGAGTTGGAACATAAAATTTTTACTCAAATAACAGGTAACCACATATTGATCCGTTAAAAAGTTTCAATACGAACAATGCGCCTAACATTTCTCTAGATTAAGAAGTTAAAAACGATTGGTAGAGGGAGGAAGAATCATCGTAGAGTTCCATCGGAAACGTCTTAATGCAAAAAGGATTATCGGAATAAACCTGATTACTTGGGGTTCCGTATCAGTGAACCATATTCTAATATTGGCCTCATCAAAGTCGTGTAAAGTGCCTTAGTTACATAAGGGTCTTTAAATTCTTTTGACCATCTTTAGGCAAAAGCATTTTTTGACTGCGGTATTGATATGAAGATGAAAGTTGAGCTAAGGGTCCATCATAATCTACAAATCAACGAAGTCGTACACTTGTTCTAGACTCCAGTTATTAATTATATAAGGAGGACATTGAACAAGTTTCCGTGAAAAGCACATAGTCTTATACTTCATGTCACACGTTGTGTTCTATTGCAAAGCTACTAGGAAACCCATTGAAGAAATCTTGGCTGGAGGAGACCGAAAACGTTTTCTGACTAGTAATAATTGCCTCAAAAAGCCTTGGTATAGCGGATATTATGTAAGTGTACTATAAAAGACAGCTTCTTGTTTGAGAGAGGAATTAAAAAGTTGAGTTAAAGGCAAATACAGACTTTTTTGCAAAACTTTTCCAAAGGCGCGAAGGAATCATATCTGGATCATAACTGAAAGAACATTTTATATTCATCAAATGATGTAATACATCTTCCTCAGAAGTAGTTGGTGAGTTAATTATTCTAGTTGAACGTAAGTAATGCTGACACGTACAAAAATTAATATTATAATATAACAAAAACAAAAAAAAGAAATTATAAAAATAAAAATAAAAAAATTAAATAAATTAATATGAAAAAAAAATTTAAATAAATTAAAATAAAACATAATGAAGTGAATCCTAAAACTTAAATTAATAAAATATAATTACTTAAAAATATTAAATAATTTTAAAATTAAAGTAAAATAAATTAAAATTTATTTGGGGTACAACAAAATTTATTTGGTCACCATCTCTTCTGGTGTTCGAAAACTACCAAAGAGATGGGAACAATACTTAGAATGATGTATTTTAACACTTTTTCGAAAATAAAAAAAATTAGCCGACTTAAACAAAATAATGAATAACTTTTTACTAGATCTAACTGTTTGTATAATGCCACTACCGTGAAAATATTATCTGTTATTAATAATGTAATAAATATTTCCATTTCATAATACATATTTCCCTTCTTTCATATTTTTTTTTAATAAAAAAAAGTGAAAAAGTTGGCAGCTCTGCTCAAACATATATAAATTATTCTAGAAAAATCTCAAAATATAAATGGAAATTCTCATATTTAATATTTATATTAGTTTTGTGATTTTCTGCTCAGTAGATGTCAATAAAAACAGAAAGAAATATCAAAAAAAATTAGTTTGAAAAACTTTCTAAATTTTTAAATTAAACACCCTGTACTCTTTTTTATGTTAACGGTAATGTAAATATTGAGGACAGAAGTTGTCATATGTATATGCATGTATATATTGTACGTATGTCCGTAGAGATGACTTGTCTCGCCTTAGTCTCTTGCCGTTGCCATAGTCATCGCTTACAACTTCTCAACAGTAGCGTAATTTTCGAGTTTTAGTTATGATGTTAGCTACAATTGTTTATATTTCTATCATTGCTGCTGCTGACAACTTGACAAAATGTCGGTGACACCGCTCACACATGCGGGAGCACAAAAAAGTATGTGCAGCCGTGCAGTGAATAGAGAGGCAGACAAATTTGAATGTGACTTCATAAAAACATACACACATATTCACACAGAAACTGATTTTCAGTGTTTTTTAAATTATTTAGGCGTCTTCATAGACACAGAGTTGTCACTTCGATGCACACGGTGCTAGAAGGAGTAAATGTTAGCTCTGCCTTCAGAGATTTAGACTCCTTTTCACGTCATTTGAAAGCATCAATTCTTCTCATTAAATATCCTTATTAAATATCCTTATTAAAGTTCTTCTTCTTCTTCTTATAAGAGAGTTCCTGCCGATATAGTCTTGCTCTGCTGAGTTTGCCGATTTGCCCGGTCCATGCCTCCTCAATTTTTGGTAAGCCCCACAAGAATAGGATACCGTATATGGTAGTGCATTGGCACGACACATTGGCAACTACTTGACATAATCAAGCAAGGTACTTTCAGTATAGAGCGGATATCTAGGCAGAAGTGCTCGCGTCCCGTTCTTTCCCCATTTCACACGAAGCGATCCACCAATTAAATGTAACCAACTATTTTCGTCCTCGCTATCTACAAAGCTGCATTGATTTCTTCTTAACTAAAAATGTCTAAGAGCAGCTTACTCTGGTCAGCAATTAAATGCTACTTAGTCAGGTAAAAAGTCGCATTCCCAACTTACCTCTTAACGAATTTCCGCAAAATATCGACATCACTGAGACTCTCTACGGGTATCGTTGGCAGCTTGCCACTTGCTGCTGCTGACGTAGCTGCTGCCGAAGATGTCGCCTGAGATGTTTGACCAGCCCGTTTGGCTGGTGACAATTGATCTATGCGTTGTTCACGTTGTTGTTGTTGTATAATCTCAAAAGGGGTTACAGCATAAGCATAGAACTGATGCGTACGCAAGACCGAGACGCCAATCAATGACAAAATGTCCTGGTAAATAAAAAATCAAGAAATAATAAAATATTTAAATTACAACAAAAAACCAAGGCATAACGGTAAACCTATATTTACACTCCAGCAAACTCACCATTGGTATTTGTATGCCATTCGCACCACTGCCTTCGTCGAAAACGCCTTGTGTACCGTTAGCAGCAGCAACCCCCACAGCGCTTGCGCCAACCGACGACATACCAACACCACCACCACTGCCACCCAATGCACCGCCGCCCACGTTGTTCAGCGATGAGCCACCCTTGCCGGCAGTACCCGTGAGATAGCTGGCTGAGAGGCTTACAGCGCCACTATTCATACCCTCATTGGCATGCACTTCTATCAATTTCGCTATGAAAACAGCCTGCGGGGCATAGGCTTGCAACAGACGTCCGACAGCAACGTCATTGACTTCCGCTATGTTGTCTCTTGAATGCTGCAGCAAAGTGTTCGCCTCCAACTTGTCGGCGGCCACAGCTGCAGACAGATCATTGAAGATATTCTCGGTTACACTGTCGGTGAGCTCTTCGCCAACACCACCGACACCGCTGGTGGCTACTGCTAGTTGCTTGTAGTGTTTATAGAAGATTGTGTGCTGCAACGACTGCCTGGCGGCCACCACCAAGACATCCAATACACGACACAACAATAAATTACGTTGTTGAGGCGTTAATAGGCTGCCGATGCTCGGTGCAGCATCACCCATACCCGTTGTTGTTGCTGTTGCGGTACTTGGCTTTTCCATTTGATTAAGTTCCGTCCAGATGAAGCGTTGTTGCAACAAAGCCGCAATGCACTGCAGCAAGCAAAGTACTGACCGTTGTTGGTCACTACTATGGCGTTGTTGTTGCTGCTGTTGAAGTAATTGTTGTCGCGCTTGTACGCAACACCAATCCAAGAAGCCCAATAGTGTTGCCACATGCTCCACACGCAACACTTGCTCGCGCACAAACTTATCAATAAATCTGGACTCAATATACAGCAGCGCCTTGTCTTCCACTGTCTTTATGCACTCCAACAAGGTGGTAACGGCGTCACAGAGGTAAAGTCCGTCAGCGCTTAGCACATTCCCTTGGGGTGCACCTGCCGAGCTCGATACCTCCAGCTCCATCTCCTCCAACGAGGGCGTTGCGTCTGCTGGTGCGACCATCGTCATAATCGGTAGATTTCTGTTGTATGCGCTGTTGTTGCTTGTGGCAATTTCCGTGCTAATACGCGTCATCAAGACGGCGAGTGTAACGCGCACTAATGGATTCGGCTGCATGTAGTGAATGTGTGGATTATGCTGTACGCAGTTGTTGCGAAACGCGGCCAACATCGCCTCCATTGAGCTGCGGATTGCATGCCGCAACACACGCGCCACTGCGAACTCACTGCTGTTGAATATTTTGTAGAGTTTTTGCTCCGATTGTATTTCCAGTAAAATGCGTGAGATTTGTTCGGCACCGTAGTCCGATTGTGCGGAGAATTTAATTAACTGCCAATTGAGAAGAAAGAAAGAAGGGGAGAGATAAACGTTGAATATTCGCTGGGTAATTTTTTGTCGGTAAATAATGACATGAGGGGTCTAACGAAAGGAACTGTTAAAAATGTGTTTTAAGTCTATAGTCACAGACTTACCGGTATCCGAAAAAAATCTAATAGGAATTTTCTAATTTATACTCTAAATGAAGACCGAGGCGTCCAATGTCTCCTCGACTTCAGTTAAAAACAACAGGACGACGTAATCAAGCATCCTTATTATTCTTACAGCATAAGGTCTTACGAAGGAGGATTTCAGCATGTTCTCTCATCAGGCATTGTGCTGTCCATTTTTCTATAATTTTAGAATTGTCTTCTCTTTTCAGGGAGTATACGCCATGGTACATATTTCGGTTTCTTTTCGAGCCAGTTGGCTAGAAACTGCGTCAAGTGAAGTCGGACGAAACACACTACACTGATGACACTGCTTGAAAGGCTGGATTTCAAGATTATACTCCACCGCCTGCTNTCACGAAAGGAACTATTAAAAATGTGTTTTAAGTCTATAGTCTAATAAGGAATTTTCTATTATATACTCCAATTTTTCCTCGACTTCAGTTAAAAACAAAAGGACGACGTAATCAAGGATTTCGGTCGAGCAAAAATAAAAAGTATCTTATGCAACTATCAGTAAATGGCTTCCCCAAATGAGCTGGAATCTAAATATGCCCGACGACAGAGGTAGTGAAAACTTGCCGACATATTATATATGGTATCCCAAAATCTCCACACAAGATTTCTATGAATTAACTAAAGCTTAGTAGATTAATTAACTTAACAAAAACCACCAAAACAGCTACGAGAGTTCGAAGCCTATTTTTCCCTACTCCTCATTATTCTTACAGCATAAGGTCTTACGAAGGAGGCTTTCAGCATGTTGTCCCATCAGGCATTGTGCTGTCCATTTTTCTATAATTTTAGAATTGTCTTCTCTTTTCAGGGAGTAGACGCCATGGTACATTTTTCGGTTCCCTTCCTTGGCTAGGAACTGCGTCAAGTGAAGTCGGACGAAATACACTACACTGATGACACTGTTTGAGAGGCTGGATTTCAAGAGTATACTCCACCGCCTGCTCTTCATTACAGCTTTTAACAACAACACCACAGCAGGTGTGACATAATTTACGATGGATTTTCCCCTTAAGGATTTCGTATTTTAAGGGGCAAAATACATGAAAGTGGAAACTTAGTGAATTTGGTCAGTAGAAAGAAGGCATGAATTCTTCAGTATCAAGTGTGNCCACCGCCTGCTATTCATTACAGCTTTTAACAGCGGGTATACACCACAGCCCCTTAAGGATTTCGTATTTTAAGGGGCAAAATACATGAAAGTGGAAACTTAGTGAATTTGGTCAGTAGAAAGAAGGCATGAATTCTTCAGTATCAAGTGTGGAACCAAAATTGATAATCTTAACAAGGCCTCTCTGTAAATAACCTAGTCTGACTTAATTATTTTAGAGCCTCGAGTTTCGAGAGAGAGCTTTAACAAAAGATATGCACTTGGTCATGAATGCCAGGAAATACCGCAGATTAATCATCAACTTTAACATTAAAAGAGAATAAATCTAAAATAAAACAAAAACTTAAATGAAGAATTCGAAATTCTCGTATCTGACCTCTACATATGGAAAGCATAGTATTTGGCCCCGGATCTATGTATCAGAATAATAGGAACACTAAAGCTTCTTTATGGAGCAATCGTCGGGGGCTAACTATAAATAGAATCCAAGATGTGCGTCAATGTGTATCAGTGGTGCACGGAAGAGCACGCCAAGTGAGGCTCTAAATGTTATATCGAATATTTTGCTACTGGGCCGGGCGGTATATCAGTCAGCACCAATAGTCGCACATCGTTTAAGAGTATCTAAACGATGAATCACTCAGCTATTGGGATACTCGAAAATATTGTACAGTTACGATTGCATACCAAGCTATAAAAACCGATACAGTCCGAATAACAATCAATGGAAATTTCTTCGGAACACGAAAATCCTACATGGAAGAATGGAAAGGTAAATACAACACACCAAGTGGCAAGCTGAAAATTTACACGGATGGCACAAAACTTGAGGGGAGAGTTGGCGGCAATATATTCTCTAGAAACTATCTCTTTCAGACTACCTGACCGCTGTACTGTCTTGCACGCGGGAATTCTAAAAATGTGCTGCGCTGTCACCAGTGACTGCAGGAGATGTTTGGCCAGAAACAATTTGGAACAGACAGATTACACTGCTCGGGAATATCGAGGAAACTATAAGACGAATGAACTTATTGGGCAAGATACGACTAAGCAGATTCTTCTCGCTATAAAGAACACAATTTGCCACTTGAAAACTTTTTCTCAAGAAATTTACATACGAACAGACCGCGTCAAGGTGAAACGAAACTAAAGGCGGAGTCATACGAGCAAGAATTGAAACCGAACGACTATCAAACGCGCCGCACGTTCGGTGCATGAGCCCAAAGCGAGATGCTCACTGCAAAATTGTCGCATTTTAAGTGTTGATAATCCAAAAGTCGTTATATTCTCAAAAAGTCACTGCTCGTTAGGCAGCGGGCATCAGTGATCTATACGCTATAGAGCCATCATTAATGACTTTTTCGAGCCTGAATTGGTGAAAGAATGTTGATGTGGCCGTTCTTGGGTTACAACAAGACGGTGCTGCAAGTCATACAGCAAACGAAACAATAAATTTATTGAAGGAAAACTGTGATGAACGCATTATCTCGCGTTGTGGGTCTGTAGAGTGGCCTCTAAGATCGTGTGATCTAACGGCACTGCACTATTTTTTGTGGCAGATAGTCACACAACGACTGACATAACGATTGCCGAGTGGTTAGCAGTGCGCATGGCCGCTCAGAAGGCCAATACTCGAGTCCTGGTCCGAGCAAAATTCAAAAAAGATGGAAAATTAATTTAAATAAAATCATTTTCGAAGCATTATCCTTTTATATAGAGGATTTATTAACCGAAATTGAAAGTTTTAAATTTTTAATTATTTTTCAAATTTTCAATAATTTTTAAAAATTTTTGGTAAGGCTAAAATGACTTTTTATGAAAATTAAATAAAAAAAACAGTCTCGTTTTTGGTGCGATTGGCCGCGTGGATTTGTACGTGGTGTGATCATTTTATACGCGAATAGTACTTGAATTTCGAAAATCGCTTATTTGCTTTATACTTAGTATTTTTTTTTATTTATATATTTTTTTTATTTTAATTTTTTTTTTAATATTTGCATTTTTAAATGCGCAATCACGGAATTAGTTTCATAAAATATTGAATCAGCAATTTAGTTAAGCACTTTGGTAATTGCATTTCGATGATAGGCATGCGATTTGTAGATTTTTTCCACCATTTTTAGTTAGTGAGTGAGTGAGTTTATTAAAAATATGTATGTAAAAAATAAAACCGTAAAATACGCTGCAGAATGCAAACAATAATCATAAAAAATAACTGTGGAACGTGATTGCGCCAAACGCAAAATATGCAAATGAAATGCCATACCTGCATAACAATAACAAAAACAACAATTAAGAGCGCAACAAGCAACAAGAGCTAGTAATAAAAGGAAAAATCTCTCGACAACAGCATAATCAATAAAATAATTGGCAAATAACTACGAATGCAACTGAACATACAAAAAATGAGGAGCAATCGTCGGGGGCTAACTATAAATAGAATCCAAGANAGCACAACAAGAGCTAGTAATAAAAGAAAAAATCTCTCGACAACAGCATAATCAATAAAATAATTGGCAAATAACTACGAATGCAACTGAACATACAAAAAATGAGAAACACAATACTTGGATAAAAGCATAAAAGAGAGAGAGAGAAGCAAATTATCACTACAGAAATTTGCGTAAACAAATGAAAAAATAAAAATTAAATTAAAAAAAAAATAAATAAAAATAAAAGACACCGTAAAGTGAATGCCAACTAATGGAGAGCAATTATGAAAGGAAGCGAAAGAAAAAGAAAAGCAAAAGCAAAAAAGCGAAAGGCAAATATATAAGAATGAAAAAGGACATAAGCATGACAAGTGAGTGATTTCTACTCATCAATGCTTAATCGCGAAACACAAGAAGTGCATGCCAGGGTAGACAAGGGTAGACGAGGGTGGCAGGCAACAAAGCGGAAGCGTACAAGTAGTGCTCGAGAATGCGCTAGCGATAAACTCACCTGACTCAACAGCCACTTCTCGTCAATTATGCGCTGCTGCTGATGCTGCTGCTGCTGCTGCTGTTCCTCTTGCTTCTGCTCCGCTAATGGCTGAGCAGCCAGTTTGTATTCTGGAGTGTCCAACAACAACTGCTGCCAGCTGTTTTAATAATCCGTCGAGTGCGTGGAAGAGTCCATTTTGTATGTGAAAAAGTAGAAAAATAATAAGAAATAATAAATCATTAGTAAATCATTGAGTTCTCATTGAAAAATTATTTGAAAAAAATCTCAGGTAAGGCAAAACTATGATCGGGTAGGTCAGAATATCCAATTCGAAATAAGTTGTTCTTAAACCTAAACAAATTCTTGATTGCAGTCAACAAATACGCAAAGTAAGCTCACGCGTATGGATATAAGGACCCATCGATTTAAAACAGATTTTTTCATTGAGTATAAGTATAGCGAGAGGTGTACTGGAATTCAATAGGCACATCGAGGGATGGAAGTGTCTTGATGGGACTAATTAAAGATGGAAAATACGAGAAGATTTTAACTTCTTGCTAAGGCTGGTGCTTGGACTACAAGGAAGCCTTACCGAGGATAAAAAGTAAAAATAAAAAGTGTGGGACAAGCCCAAGCAACTGCTTATGATGATCCCCCTATTTTTTGTGAATCTCATTGCTCTTCTTGACTGGCAGCATAAGTTGATCTTTATGAGGGCGTAGGCGTGTGCTTAGTGAAAGTGCATGGGGTAGTGTTAAGCCGCATTTAACATGAGGTTGAAGTTTTAACATGAGGTTGTTATTCGGAATTTTAGAGTCTACTTCTAGTCCAGGTTTTCTTCCAACAGCTGCGTAATAGTCGTGACAAAAGAGGGAGAGAGTAAAAGAGAGGATAAGACAGTTTAAGATAAAGAATCGAAAAGGACGCCATCACTACCCCTACGGGTATTCATGATTTCTTCAATTACTGCGCCAAGTTTTTCGAACCTTTTGATTTTTTAGGTTCGGAGTTTAGTGAAATAGGTCACCGAAAGGGTGACAGCCTTTGGCCGGATAAAATCCGAGTCAACTCCGGTACGTAGAACCGGCTGTCTTGAGAATACCTCGGCGACTTAGATTATTCACACATGTTCCTAAGCGGGGTTAGCGAACCGCTACAACAACAAAAATAACAAGGAAGATAAGGCACAAGACACTCGAGGGTGGTTAAGAAAAATATTTGGGCAAAAGCTATTATACGAACGAAATTAAAATACCCGTAACAAGCTGCGGTGGGTTGAGAAAAGCTTAAATTGTGGAAAGAAGAATAATTACAAGCAACCAAGATTTAAATACGCGCAACTCAGATGAAACTTACAAAGTTGATGATGAGCCGCCCTCCTCCATTGCCGTTAGTCGTTCTCCAGCCAATTCCCTCAATTGCTTCAATAGCTGCTGCCTCTTGACCATTGCTGAGCTGCAATTGAAAACAAGTCGACGCGCTACACGCTCCAAACGCACCTGCAGAGCGCGAGAGTTCTTGCTGCGTGAGTGTAAGCGGTGTAATAGTTGGAGGCTCAGCAACACTACTTCCACATCGTAATTTTCGTTTATGCATGAGGCATTGCATAAGTTCAATAGAAACGGTGGAAGCGCATATATTGTATGCTGTGGAGCAATAAAAATACCAAAAGCTTAATTTAATTGCAAAAGACAAAAACATTCACAAAATATATTGTAGACTTCAATTAATACAAAAGCAAAGCAAAATAAGTTAAAGCGATGTTCAAGTACGAACCTTGTTTAGCGCATTAGCATGTTGCAGCAACGCATTTAACCATACGGCGCCCGACGTCTCTACTTCGCCAGCTGCCACTTCACACAAATCACTGATGAATGCAAAATTCTCTGTAATTAGGAAATTCAAAACTGCACCACCACCTGACTCGAGCAGCTGACGCACTTGTTGCACCGACCAGTCGCGCGCATCGGACTATGAAGAAGAGAAAAAGAAAATAAAAGCGGTAGGTAGTTGAACATAATTATTACACCACTAATTGAAGAGCAGAACACAGTGAAAGTGAACGCGCAAATTAGTGTACGAATGCAAAATCTTAGGCACAGGACAAGCGGTGGCGGAGCAGACGAAAGATGCGTGAGAGGCTGTGTTAATTGGAGCATAAAAAGCTGTGTAAGATTAAAAACTAAAATGCACGATGCGCAGTAACTACTTAGTCGCAAGAGTAGCTAGAGTGTGTGTCGGTCAGTGGTCAGCAAATTTTTGCTGCCTAAGCACATGGCTAGCGCTGACTTTGCATCGCTGGATACTTTATATACGCGGCGTACAATCACATGGGCACATCGAATTGCAGTAATGAGCGCCTTGAGGCGAATCTACGATGTGCTTCATATCATTCCTGCCGTGAGTCGTTGACTGCTGGACATTTAAAGTGTAATTTGCACTTAATTAAAATAGTTCTCTAAGCGATCACATAAATCACGANAGCAAATTTGTTAATACAATCAGTTTTTATTACTTTGCATAAATTTGTAGACAGTTATAGTTAAACCAAAAACATACATATATACATACAAACACATGCAATAGGCTCAATGCTAGCACAAAGTCTGAAGTGGAAGTTAATATTTTTTCACATTTTTAAATGGGAGATGCAGAGCCTATAAGAGCAAAATACTTTCGGAAAATTTAGTCTTTAAGAAAATTGTGTGATGTGTTCCTATGCATAGGCCTACAGGATACCCGATGTGTGTAAAATGCTCCAACAACTTTTTTATGAATAATTCATTCATAACGGTAAGGATATACTACTTTTACATTCGGGCAGAATTACATTGTGTTTAGACAAATTTTCTACTTGCAATTTCAAGCATATTTATTCCACTTCTAAATTATATACATATAAATCACAGGCAACAACCACAAATTTACAACTTTTACGACGAGAAGTGTTTAAAACTTATTAGAAGCACTTGTGCTGCTCTAAATAACGAGTTAACATGTACATATATATAATACATCCTCAACTGATTGGCCGAATATAGCAAAATTCAAATTAATTTAATATGTTGCAACCCGCAGAAGTAGTTTATTGTGCACATATTCGTGCATACGCACACACAACTTTTCGCTCACACAAAGTTTGGCCCACTCCTCATCACACTTTCCTCTTTGAGCCTACATTTGGGCATCTCCGCCCATCGCTTTTTTAACAGTTATCATCATCAACTCAGCACGAACAACTTGGCACTTACATTTTGCTGGCAAATTTCACTCAGAAGTGTCCTCTGCATGTTGTCATACCCCTTTACTCGCTCTTTATTTGTTACCATTTGCAGTTCACGTTGTCCTCCTCGTTGTTGTTGGTACGCACGTTGTTTTTGTTGCTTAAGCAATTGCAACATCACCACCGGATCTAACAATTTCATGGCCGACAAAAGTTTCAAGACTTCCAACTGCAGTTGCAACGCTTGCCCAGTGGCGGCCAAAACACAACTCACCGGAGGTTGAATAGAACTGTTATCATCAACGTTGCCCGCCTCTGTTCGCGCACCAACATATGCACCCCTCTTCTCTGTCTGCTGCTGATCCATCGTCAGGAAATTACAGTACTTATCGAGTAATGCCGATTCGGCTAGTAACAAACGAAAAACCGATTGCAATGCGTCCTTATGGCGAGAACGACAGCAGACCTCATGCAAAGCAGCTACAAACCGGCTCACCAATAGGGAGTAGGCCATATCGCCGCAAGCGTTGGAGGTGGTGGTAGTGGTTTTGGCACTGCCTGTGACAGCGTCGAGGCAATTCTCTAGTTTCTCACATAAAACTTTTGCGAAATAGTTAATTTCACTTATGCTGCCACTTGACGTCGCAGCACTGCCGAAGGCTGAGGCGGCTGCACGGGCCGCTGCTGTAGATGTCGAAGGGCCGTCCAGCAGCCAGTGTGCGGCTTTTTGTTGTTCCTGCTGCTGGTTTCTGCTGCGTTCGCGCTCCTCCACCGCCGGATGGTTTTTCAAATAAAGTTTGATGTGATTTACTAAATAAATTTCCTCAGTTTTAAGAATTACATTCGCCAGTATGATCGTTGCATGCGCCAGAGCGGAAAAGTTCTGCTCTACGCCCTTCTTTTTTTACATTCCACATTTTCCATTTTGCATTTGGTTTGCACGCGAGTGTGTGCGTGTGCGTTGGTTTGTGGCGGTGTTTGAGTGGCCAGTTCAGGCGCATTCATAAATTTGTTGTCATCATCATCGGTCGCAGCAGAAGCAACAACAGCACCAGCAGTAGCATAGTTGTTGTAGTTAGTTTCGCCGCATTTGTTGATTGTTGATTGTTGATTGCATCGTTTTTATGTGTATGTGTACGTTGTGTGCATGTGATGAAAAGAGAAGAAAGAGAAAAAAGCAAATTTGTTAATACAATCAGTTTTTATTACTTTGCATAAATTTGTAGACAGTTATAGTTAAACCAAAAACATACATATATACATACAAACACATGCAATAGGCTCAATGCTAGCACAAAGTCTGAAGTGGAAGTTAATATTTCACGGTAATAATTTAAAATAACCATTTAAATAGGCAACTGTTGTTACGAAATATTGCAAAACATTCTCGTAAGCCGATATTTTCTCGCTATTTGTCTTTATTATCAAACTTATCTATGCAGATTTAAGTAGAAAGTTGAAAAAGGCAAATTGTTGAATTTCATAGAATTCAATTTAAAGGATCAAGAAACTCCATCTCCAATGGATTAATGCTCAAAGAAAGGCTGAGTGGAAAAGATTTCAGTCAAGAGCTTCCCAATCTCTTCGGATCGGGCCTTCAGAACAACTGAAAAGCTAATGTGGCGAAGAGTTGGTACGGACTCTTCAAAGTACCTCCAGTGTGCGGACAATTGACAATTGGTTGAGTACATTTTCTTGTGCTCATAAAATTATCACTTTTTTATCAAAAAAAAAAATTGAAGCGAATTTCTAAAATAAACAGTCCTGTTTCTAAAGACTTAAGCATATATAAAAGAAAAAGGCGGGGACTTATGTTGTGTTACTCTTCCATCACAAAGAGCAAGAGATAATATTGACAAACAGCCAACGATTGCTGAGAATCGAATACTTTCTATAAGGATCAAAAAGTAGCGAATAATAAAAAAGGTAGAGCGAACTTCTTTCTGAAGGAAATAAAAGAGCTGCAAGGAAATCTCATTCTTAAGGAATCAATTTTGAACTTGCCAACCCCATGCAGAGAAGAGCGACATGAATAAGAGCAGATACAGATCAAAGTAATAATAAGCCTTGAATCGAACAAGGAACTGCAGGATAACTGTACCTTTGCCAAAAATATATGTAACGAACATTGTTCTTACTAGCGACATTTTTAGTAGGCGAACCACAACTGTAAGTTGGATCTGGTTGAGGACAATAAATTCCGAGAACAGGGGCAGACAATTAAGCATGATATCTGAAACTGTTCCGGAAGCTCGGTAGATCGAGGTTGAGCAGGCTTGGTGGATGTTCAATCACTAATAAGGAAAGGACCAAAACATTACAAATAGATGAGGCCGAAAATCTGTTCATGGGTTACAACTTCTATTCCGCCGTTTTTTCCAAAATTTAAAGCTTTATTGCGAAAAAGTGCTTACAGATATATTATTCAAAGTATTATACTTCGCTAGCGACAACTTTCTCCCATCTTTCCGGCAATTTTCGGATCCCGGCTCGAAAAAAGGAGTCCTCTTTTGACGCTATCCATGATGCAATCCATTTTTCCATTTCTTCGAAGGATTGAAAATGTTGATCTGCCAGGCCGTGTGCTATCAAACGGAATAAGTGGAAGTCAGAAGGGGCGACATCTGTATAATACGGCGGGTGGGGCAAGACTTCCCATTTCAGCGTTTGCAGGTACTTTTTGACCACTTTTGCGACGTGAGACCGAGTATTGTCGTGTTGGAGAAAGAATTTGTCATGTCGCTATTGATATTGTGGCCGCTTTTCTTTTAGCGCGCGACTAAGGCGCATCAGTTGCGTTCAGTAGCGATCACCTGTGATGGTTTCACCCCGTTTTAAGAGCTCGTAGTAAATCACACCGAGCTGATCCCACCAAATACAAATCATAACCTTGGCGCCGTGAATATTCGGTTTTGCCTTCGACAAAGAAGCATTCCCGGGCTTTGCCCATGATTTTCTGCGTTTAGGATTATCGTAACGAACCCACTTTTCATCACCGGCTACGATTCGATGCGCTTTAGCTGCATTTTTTTCGAATTGTAACAGAAAAGTAAAACTTCCCGCAAATGGCGAGAATTAGGCACATAAACGGACATTTTCGAGCGTGAATAATACGAAAACAAGAACAACTGTCACTGAAACGGCGATGACAATTCGTTAGGCACTGTCCACACTCACTTTAAAGGCATTATCATATATGTATTTCAACCAGCCTCAGCCGGTACAGCCACCTATCGGCAAACGGCGGAAGCAAAGTTGTACACCTGATATAAAAATCGTATGACAGCATGGAAAAATTCAGCGAATGACTTAAAATTTCGTCAAATTGCTTCTATGATACCTGGGAAGGGATTTACGAAAAACAATTTTGACATATTCGAAAAAATTTGCATATGACTTCATTTACTTGAAATTCGGTACTGAGGTGTCATTTTGCTTTAATTAACAGGAAGGCTCTTATACTTTCCGGGATGTGGACCAGAAACCGACCTATTAAAAAAAATCGAGCTACTATCCAGGAAGTGGACCGGTGGCAAGCATATTCATATATTCGGGCTTTTCCACTCTCCAGGGAGAGAGCAATGTCAAAGACTAAACAAAAAATGTTGTATTGCCAAAGGTATTGAGTGAGGTTATGATAAAAAGATATCCCATGAATGAATTTTTCATAGAATCAATGAGTATGCGTGACAGCGAAGCGTTACAGGGTACAGCTAGTTATCTATAACTCATTAAATAATGTTCTTTAAACTGGAGACACAACAAAAACGTTGTGCAGCACTAGAGAAATGCTTATGAAGTGTCTTCAACGAATTCAACCTGAGCTAACCTAGAGTAAATGAAATAGTCACGCTACAAAAAAATTCTAAATTTATGCACGATTCAGTTCAATTCAGTTTTGCAAATTTAAAAGTGAAATTCAAATTCATGGAAAATTTGTTCAAGAAACTGGCAAAAAAGAAATGCATTCAATAATGAAGCTGCCAATGCCACATTTCTCCTCAGACACATAAAGTTTCAAAGGAGCAACAGCAAAACAGAAAGAGAAAAAGAAAACCAGCGCCGGCTTAGGTAAGGCTGTTCAATAGACTTTTTAAGTTGAGCCTGTTTTCACACTTCTCGGTTTATTTTGCCACTGCAACTGCAACAAAAACAACAATCTTAATATTTATTCATACAACTACAAGAGCTACTTGCAAATCTTATCGAACTCGTTAAATCTCTAAGCAGACATACATACTTAAATATACTTAGATATGGTAAAAGCTATCTGCTAAGTCTTTGAATCTGCCCCGAGGTTGTAGACGAGCGAATGGCAGGTGAGCTGGGTGGGTAGAGGAAGACTACATCATTGCCGGTGAACTCATATTCTATTGTATGCGATTCACTTGTGCAACTTCTAACTTTTGTTGTCTTTAACTTCCGTTCACACGAAGCTTTCTACAATCATTACCGTTGCACTGTGTGCCGAAAATGGCTTTCTTGGGCAGCAAATTTTTAATTGAATTGTATTTGCAAACTATTGCCACTCAATTAATTTTTCTCTTCAATTCTTGCATAGAATATTGCCTACATTTTGGAGATCTTATATATATAAAATCTTAGCAGTCAGAGGATAACGTAATAAAATTAAGCAAAATATTTCCCCTTTACTTTGTTTGCATATAAATTACAAAACTTTATTTATAACCATAATTTCACCTCTTCTAACCCACAATGTTCCACAGACAATTCAATTTTCACGGCTTTCTGCATGCCTAAAAGTATGCAATGCCGCACAAGTGCCACACAAATATACTCTGTTCCGCCAGACTTTCGCATTGATTTCATATTGAACTTGAAGTTCATTCACTATTTCTTTTCGCTAGTTTTTTGCCGCACACATCCACACACACACATGCGCTGAACAAAAATAACGCATAACTGCATACATCCTGCCACACGGCAGTACTTGGAGTGCATGAATTAAGAGTGCACACAGTGGAATTCTATACCACACCTTTTGTATCTGCAAGCAGACATACTCGTATACACATATGTGTGTATATGTACATATACCTTTTCTGAATACCATGAGTACATCCCAGTAATAAATTCTAGGCTTCAAAAAATGTTCTTATATATAAATCTTGTAATTTTATTGTCCATTAAAAAACACGTGAGCTGAGATAAAAAATTAATAAAAGAAAAACATGAAACAAAATAATGAGAGAAAAAATAATTTCGAATAAAACGTAATTAAATTTTAAGTAAATAAATTATGTCTATTAAGTTATAACCAATTAAGTCAAATTTAAAAAAAAATTAAATTAAAAAAAATTACATTTATTTATAATTATTATTATTACATTAATAAAATAAGATAATTTAAATCAAATAAGTAAAAGAAATAAAAAATGTAAAATCGATAAAATATGAGAATAAGCAAATTTAATTTATTAATTAAGTTAATTAAGAGCTAATTAAATTAAAATAAAATTAAAAAAATCAAAAAATTAAATAACTACAAGTGTTGTAAATTACCATAAATCAAACAAAAAATTAATTAAATTAAAATAAAGTATACAAAATGGAAAACGAAGAATTAAAACAACCGAAAAATAACACCGAAAATTCTAAATAAAAATCAAATAAACGCAAGAAATTAAAGTAATTTAATTAAATAATTTCAAATAATTAAAAAATATATAATAATTTAAATCAAAATAAAATAATGGAAGAACTTAAAGTAAAAAAAAATTAAGTGGCTTCAAGTAAAATAAGTTATAACAAAATTTACTTAAATAATAATAATAATAAAAATTAAGTATGAACAATCAGACTAAATTAGATGATATTTAATTAAATTTACTAAATTAAATAAAAAAAAATAAGAAGAATAATAAATATTAAGTG